TTAGGTTTGATGTCATGGTCTCCGGGGGGTTGGCAGAAGAAATGTATCGGGTACCCCAATCCACAGATTGGAGTCAATTCGAAACACTGACGGCTCCATGACTGAGAACGGAAAGCAGACGTTGGAGCTTATGGCGTTAACGCACTTTCCTGACTCGAAGATTCTTCGGAATCACTCAATTGCGGTCATTGAACCGAGGGCATCCTGGCCCAGGAGGGATAACTGACAACGATCCCGTCTGGTCTTCACGATGGGCAGGATTAGATGGGCTGTTTTCTCTTTAAGCCCTTCAAATCTCCAGGTGATGACGGGATATATCCTGCATTTTTGCAGAGGGGTTTCCAACATATCGCCAGAGCACTGTTGGAAATTTTTCCTGCCAGCTATGCGTGGGCTTACATCCCTTAGACATGGAGGGTGGTTAAAGTGACGTATATTCTGAAGGCGGGTAAGCGACCAAGCAACCACCCAAGGTCTTTAAGTCCAATCAGCCTTACTTCTTTTCTATTGAAAGCAATGGAAAAAGTGATTTATACGGGACGATGCACTGGGAAGCAATCCCTTGCATGAATCTCAGTACGCCTATCAGTCGGGAAGGTCTACTGTACTCGCTCTGCAGAGTCTGGTGGGGGTCCTTGAAAACTCACTGGAGGTGCAGGAGGTGGCAGTTCGCTGCTTCCTTGATATAGAGGGGGCTTTTGACAACACCCCATATCATGTCATCTGTGAGTTGTTGCTAATCGGAAACTACAGGATAGGATTATTAAGTCGGTTAATCGGAAACTACAGGATAGGATTATTAAGTCCACCATTGCTGACGATATATTCTTCATCTCCGCTGCAAAAGGGTGTCCGCAGGGCGGGGTTCTTTCGCCCCTCCCCCTGTGGTCCATTGTAGTGGATGATCTAATCGCTGCTCTCAGGGGCTCCGGGGCACATGTCTGGAGATACGCCGACGATGTGGCCTTCGTCGTACGGGGAAAATTTGAGAGCACTATTTCTGATCTTACAGCAAAATTTACGTGTTGTGAAGAGGTGGTGCGAAGGCTTAACCCAATATAAATCCAAGCAAGAGCACTTTGTTCGCCTTCACCAGACGCAGAAGCAGGGACAGATTAAAGTGCCCAATTCTGTTTGATGAACGTATTAGTTACTCTAGGTAGGTGAAGTATCTGGGGGTAACCCTGGATGATCGTCTCTCCTGGAACACCCATATAGATAGAGTTATCGAGAGGGCTACGGTGGCCTTGTGGACGTGTAGGAGCTTCATCGGGGGGACCTGGGGAATCAATCACAGGATAGCACTGTGGCTATATACGGCCCCTGCTAGGCCTATCGTCACCTATGCGTCGATTGTATGGTGCCGAAAGGCTCAGCAGTCGGGTGTGCGGGCCAAGCTGAAAAAGCTACAGAGGCTGACCTGCCTGGGAGTGATCGAGGCAATGTGGACGGCTCCTACCGCTGCTTTGGAGTTGGAGTTGATCGGGTTGCCGCCCATGCACCTCCATATATTGAAGGAAGCTCGGCTAGTGACTTACCAAGTTCTCTCTATCGAGGGCTAAAGTTGGCCCACAGGACTCACAGATACTTTATTGAGAGCGATCCGATTCTAAGAATAACCATGTCGGATACACAAGTACAGGGTTCTGTTTCCCGATCAATGGACGTGGGATCGGGGTGATCGTACCGGTACTTGAGTAGAGTTCGAGGGTGTTGTATGCGGACGGATCCAAAACGGAATCGAGTGTGGGTTCGGGTGTATACGGTGTCCGCCCAGGCCGAAATACATGCAATAGAGATCTGTCTGAGAATCAATTTAGAAAGGGGGTATAGAAACCGCACCATCTATGTGTTCTCGGACAGAAGGGCTGCTCTGCTGGCGCTTCGTTCAGTTTAGGTTACATCCAAGCTGGTCTGGGGCTGCCTTGCTGCACTTATGGAATTGGAATCGGAGAACATAGTCACGCTCGAACATCCGGGCAACGAAATTGCCGATGAGCTGTCGCGGCGAGGATCTGGGGCTGACTCTGTGAAGCCGCTGCCTTTCTGCGGTCTGCCTTCCACCGTAGGGGCCAGGCTTGCCTGCCTGCTCGCGGCGGAATGCGGCTGTCACTGGCGGGACACGAAATGTTGCCGTGATGCGAAGGTGTTTCTTTCGGCGTGCTCCAGCGGATTCACCGCAGAGTTGCTGGGGATGAGCAAGAGCCGGAGTCGCACTATTGCGAATTTCTTCACGGCGCACTGCCCAGTGAAGTAACACCTGCACAGGCTAGGGAAGTCGGGCTCCCCCCTGTGCAGATTATGTGGGGGTGGCGATGAGACCGCCATGCCCATTCTCTGCGACTGTCCGGCACTGGCTGTTCGGCGCCGCAATTGTTGTGGACATGGGTCTCTAAGTGTTGGGAACTGTTGTCCAACTCCCTTATGGATATCTCCGGCTTCGTGGTTGGGACGGAGATATTATAGGCGGGAGCGTGGAGAGACTACAATAAGTCAAGAATGGCTGCGGTGGCTTGGGGGGTTGCTCCTGTCCCACTCGGTTCCCTTAAAATCTACAAAAAAAAATCTACAATGGAAATTATTCCCGAAATTTTCTTTTGGTAATGAAACACTAGCGTAATATTTTTCACTAGTACGAGGGTCACTATTTATATTTCGGGTCTAGCAATAAAAAACAAACATTTATCATTGGAAATGGTTTTATTGTTTTTCAAAATATTCCCCATGGATTGTCATGATGAAGAATGATTCGCCGGCGCTTGTTTGTTTTCCTTATTTCTTCGAAAACTTTCGGCAAACAGATGGTGGTGTACCATTCAGAATTGACCGTCCTACGTTCCACTAAAGGTACTGTGGCCACATGACCGGTTATACCAAAAAAAAACGCGATCATTTGCTTCGATGTGCTTCTTCCACGAACAACTTTTGTTGGATTTGGCTCGTCTTGGAACACCCATACGGCCGATTGCTGTTTCGTTTCGGGCTCATATGCATAGATCTATGATTCATCACCTGTGACTATCTTATAAACGTCTTTTGACGCACCGCGATTGAATTTTTTCAACATTTCTTTGCTCCAATCGACACTAGCCTTCTTTTGTGCAATCGTCAAATTTTTTGGGATCCACCGACAACACACCTTTTTCACGGCAAGATGTTCATGCAATATCTTATGTACGCTGGTGGAACTAATGCCCAAGGATGCCTCAATCTCACAGTATATCACATGCCGGTCCATCATTATCATTTCGCGCACAGCATCGATGGTTTCCGGCAAAACGACCGAAATTGGCCGACCTTCACGAAATTCATCCTGGAGCGAACGGCGTCCGAAACCAAACTCTTGGTAACAGCGATTTACAGTGGTTTTTGATGGTGCTTCATCACCAAAAGTCGAAACAAGTTGATCGAGACACTCTTGTCTCGATAATCCGCGCCGAAAATCGTAAAAAATCATCGCACGAAAATTTTCACGGGACAATTCCATTTTTTGACCGAGATGAATTTTTCAAGTCACTGTAAACAAAACAATTCGCGCTCGAATGACAAAACGTTCTGAGTGAAGTTGTCCTTAAAAATGTCAAACTTTCCAATGGAAGTGTCAGATTGCACCTGGCAGCACTAGTATTGCCAGGACCCGAAATATAAATAGTGACCCTCGTAGTTCAATATACTCCTAACTCGGGTTTTAGGTATTTTAGCAATTCGGAACTAATAATTTTATTTCAGAATAACACTGGTTTAGATTATTAAATTATTTTTAAAATGAATAAGGGAAGGTGCGTAAAGATGATTTTATTACGCATAATTATAAAAGGTTAATAATAAATTTCTTATTTTTGTGAGTACTTAAGTTTCTAAATAAACATTTCGAATTTTTTTATTATGAAACCATACTTTATACAAAACTTCCACACGCCATATCTGTATTAAATCTATATAATATAGAGATAAGATTTGTTAAACAAAATTATTGACATTGATAAATTTAGACATTGTCTATACACATATGCTCATACACAATATGAACATACACAAAGGTTGATTATAAGTACATCTGAATACACCAATAAACATTTTTATTGCAAAATCAAAATAATCACAAAAAATATAAAAATTCTTATCTAAAATTGATTGGTAAATAAAATTTAATATAAAAACAAAATAAAATATTAAATATTAATAATAAAAATTGTTAACACCTATAATATTAAGTCCGGAGATTGTGTGTGGGTATTTAATAAAATAATTCATCGCATTAATTACCTGCCTAAAGAGTGTCTATTTTTAAATTTTTATTATAAAATTTATGACAAATAAAGTATAAGTATGTATAGATCGAGAAACTAAATTTAATGCGGAAATAAGAATAACTAAAACGTGACCTAAATATTATCAGAATGCATTTTTAATTATTTGTTTCTATTGTAGTACAATAGCACTGGAGTCACGCATAGAAAGGCTTGGAACGCAAATGCATTACGTTACCATTGCAACAAATTGTTGAAGAAAAGCGGAAATAAAGTCGGGAACGCCAAAGGTGGTTAACATTGTTTACTTAGCAGGCGGCGAATATTCTATTGGCTGATATTGTTTCATGCTAATTGCTGCCTAAACAGGAATATTTTCGTATATTTCTCGTCACGATCACGTCAGCTGATAAAAATCATTGTTTAGTATTGGGCTCGTGTCGCTTCTTTTAATTTATGAAGTAATGCACATTTTTAATGAGAAATTCATTCGTTGCTTTCTTATAATTTTTATTTATACATATAAGTTTTTTCTAGGTATACTTGAACAACTTTTATTGCACAAATTACTTCAATTTTTCGTAAAACGAATTAAGTTGTTGTTAGTTTATTAATTAAAAACTTTAGTTAGACAATGTTTACACTTTTAGACTTTTTAATTACTCGTAAATGCATTTGCACATTTATTGAAGGCAAACAAAAACACATTGATTTTTTTATTTTGAACGCTTTTAAATTAAATTCTTAGTGGTATTTGCAATATACCAAATTTTAAAATCTAAAATAATTTAGTTTAAACGCGGTTAAAACAAACTTGTTGATCTCCTTTCATTATTTTTCAATCGATCACTTAAACAATTTACTAAATTAAATTATTAGCGAATATAATACTTCCACATGCTAATGCTATTCCTACTTCTTTTTCCTCACTTTGTACTGAAAATGATGGTGAAGCAAAATATGGTGATATTCTTGAATTAACTTCAATAGGCTTTTCATGTATAACTACAGATCGGCCTAATATACCATTTACACCAAAAATACTAATAAATGGCGTTGAAAAAGTTGATAAAATTGCACCATCATCTTTAGCTTCAACATTACCAATCTGTAATTAAATTTTATTTTCCACAGTTGAATTTAGATTTAAATAAAATGTACTCACAAAATTGCTTAACATATGAGGCCCAGTACTTTTACAGCCTTGACTTACATCTCCAAAAATATGTATATGAACTGCATGTTTTCCAACCGGAAATCCGGTACCATTTATAAAAACGCGAATTAAATTGTATGGTCCAATTGGTTGGAAATTAATAACACCGGTTGGCCCCCCTTCAACATCAGGTTGAATATTTGAAGTTGCCTTCCAAATTGGTTCAGGCTACAAAGCAAATAAAACTTTTCTTACAATTCTTTTTTAGTTTAAGCTCTTTAAAAGTCTAATTCTTACTCTATTAAAGGCGGTTTGAGAAATGACTCCAATATTTCGTTTATTCAACAATTTGCAACTATTTGTAAAAGTTTTTAAATCACCATTAGAGTATACAAATTCCAAGGCAGAAATTGAAAGTAAGAGTACAAAATATGAAATTGAAATGTGTTTCATTATTCAGATAAAATTTCAGTTTGTAATCCACGTTGTCTTCGTATGAAATCCGAATTCAAACTAACATTAAATAAACAAGCTAATTTTTTTCAAATATTTTTCTTCACGGTTCTTTGATTTCGATAATTTGCAGTTGCATATTTTGTAACACATTTTTGTACAAGCATAATAATATAAAATGCATTAAACTGCTTTTAAGGGAAGTTCACTGGCAGTAAAAACTTTTTTACTGCTACAAACTTATTTTTTTAATTTTATTTATTTAATGGAATTGCATCATCATCAATGCTGATCGACAACATTTTAATAAAAATGAAAAAGTAATTAGCAAATATAGAACGCAAGCGAAGCACATTTGACATGCAATCGATGGTATTGTGTAGAAAAATAAAGAAAACCTAATTTAACTAGGTTATTCTTACTAAATTCAGTCATTAAAATACCCATTTGAAAAAGTTAGGAATTATTTTAAAAATTAAAGTTTTTGGACATATTGCATTAATGTTCTTAATTAGTTGGATATATTTATTGATTAAGGTTCTCATTGCATTTAATAAATGATTAGGAACCGGAATATTCCTGTAGTATGACTTGTATAACTTGTCTCACAACCACCAGAGTGTCTCAAAATGAAGAACTGTTATTATTAATTTTGAAATATATTAAAGAGAATCATGAATTCATGATTCATCCATTTTTCTCATGTAATATATTTTACTTAGTCTAATGTACGCACAAAGCCGACTGTCTAACAAAATCCAACACAAGACGGTCAAGAACACATTTTTCTAAGTAGGTCAGTCACTTCTGAAGCAACACCTTACAGAACATTCTTCACCATTTTATCCTTTTCATTTATAAGTGCACCTTAATGACTTAAGGTGCACTTTAGGACTGGATATATCTGCTAGGCTACCGGATTACAGTAACGTAATTCAGACTGAAGTGCTTGCGATGACCAGCACCACCTAGTTGATGATAGATGAATGGCTTGTCCAAAGAGGGAAGGGGCAAAAATGAGGAATTTTTTGAATATGGCAGGGGGGATCTCAGTATTGCGGTTGGCATTTCGACGAAACTCTATCAATCGCAAAGAAACTAAGCATTTTCTCATTGGATGTTTTGCCAGGGTTGCCGGGACGTGGGGCGTCTCTCGGTGATCTGTTTATCTGTTTGATAGAATAATTAGAATTGAGACATCAGAAATGATAGAAGATGTGTAGAAAGATGTGCATGTTTTCCTCGCCAAATTCTGAACTTTTAACAAGGTGTTGTTAAATTGACTTGAGAAAACTAGAAACTTTATTAATTTAAATAAAGGTTATTTATACAAATTTAATAAATACAATGCCATATTTTGCAAAGATTCCTTTTCATATCAAAACTAAAAGAATTTGCAAAAAAAAAATTCTTTATAACAAAGGCAATTTTCTTTCTAAATTTTCAGACAGGATCCACAATGGTCTTATGTAGTGTTTTAATGATGAAAACTCCCAAAGGTACAAAGCTAATTCAAGACAGATTTTTTTTTTGTGAACTAAATCAATGTAAGCTTCTTTGTTTTCTCGTTAACATCAAAATGCTCTTAATAAAATTTTTTTGGAAAAGAACGTATTTTCGTTTTTCAAATTTAAAATACAAAAAAAAATTTTTTTATTTACAAATCCAGTAACTTATACATTGAATTCCGCAGGGGAAACAAAATTGCGACTTTGCCAGAAATAAAATTTATAAGTAATGCAGAAGAAAAATGAAGAACTTTTTCCCATTCCTTTTTACAAACCTTATTACTAAATATGCCCTAAAAATATGAAAATTTATTTAATACTTTTCCAAAAAAATTTATTTTTTTTCACCTATAGGTTAAAAATCTTTAAACACCTTTTTAATTTTATTTACTTTTTGCCTTCATCACGTCGCTTTCCTTCAGAATGAAATATAGGATTATTATTTTAATACATGCAAAAGGGGATATTCTCTTGGCGAGAATTAATTTAAAGTAAAACAAAAGAATTTTTTAAGAAACAAATTTTTATAATTTATTTAATGTTTGTTTCTTTTCCGCATCAAACAACAAAACAATAAGAATATAAGAATATTTTGCATCTACACATAAGAAGTACACGACCTCTATACTAGCTTTGCAGTACATATCCACTTGGCATTGTAGTACTTTCGCGCCAAAAATGATGTTAGCAAAAATTTGTTATTATCTTCAATTTTTTTTTCATATCTCACATAGTACTTAAATTTGTCGTAATAAGTGCTTTAAGAAAAAGCAAATATCTGATGAGAATATTGTGTGTATATAAACGACCGCATTTTGTATTTCCAAATTATTAATTCTACATATCTACATACATATGTATATACCTAACAGAACGAAAAGATTTAGTCTAAATTGATTTCTTTTAGTTGTACTGTTTCTTAATCGGATTTAGATGAAATTTTACCACGTCATTTTCACAACGACTAAAACTGAAATATAAAATATAAATCTGTAATTTATTAGTAAAAGGGCTACAGTAGAAAAATAGGGTCTAATAGGTAAAGTTCAATTTTTCGGCTAAATTTTCTCATAAGGTCATTGGGTTATTTCTTAGATTGCGTTTGATCCAAAAGATTTTAGATAAAATATACATATTAGAACCGGGTCAGCGAAAATTTATAGATACAAGAATCCATAGACCGGACTCGTAAAAAATCACCTCATAAATGTATCTCAATTTCGACTGACCCGATTCCCATGCAAATTTAATATGAGTTTACTTTGGCTAAGTCACGGTTTGAGCAACTATTCGAATATGAAAGGTCTCGGGGATTGAACCGTTTTACGCGGTGATTTTACTTTTTTAATAATTTTGAAGAAAATGATCAGAGATTGACTTAAAATTCAACATTTAAATTTAGTGTGTTAAAACTATGAACTTAGAAAATTTTTGGTAATATCGGGAAATGGAACTGGGCCGATTTTACATTTTTTATCATATCTAAGTAACTAATTGATGGAATTTCTTGAAATTTTATATTTGAGTTTTGCTTGTTACCCAAAGCAACTAACAAACTTTTCAGTAAACTTTACTTAGACGCAAATTCACATTTTTTAAGTACGTTAACCTTACTATTTATGATAAGAAGCGTTTTTATGATAAGAAGGAAAATTATCTTGAGACTCAATATGTAAAATTTGTACAGGTCACAAATCCCTTTATTGCGTTCAGTACCGATAAAATTCAATAAGCATAAGAGGATAATTTAATGATCACGATGCAATAAAAAGTGAAAAATTTTAAATTCAGTAATTTTGTTTGTGTTAAAGTAATTGTGACCAAAAGTACTTCTGGTCTGTTTTAAAAAATACTTTTGAAAAATTTAAGCATCAACAAATTTTGATCGACAAAAATAAAATTTCATTCGTTAGTCAATTTTCTGTTGAATAATCTGAATAATCCAGTTGTTTGGTGAACTGGAACGTTGTTGAATTTCAATTTCATTTATTAATTTGTATATCGATTGATGGGGACGCCTGGAGGCTTATTAAAGACCATAAAATTTTTCCCTATTTTATCATTAGTGTATAAGAAAATTTAAATGTTAAAATTTGAAATCAAAATATTTCGTTCGAAATTTTCCTTAAATTCATCCTTAAATCTTGTTTAACATTAACAATTTTGTTCTTAAAGAATTCTTTAAATTATTTGTTAAAACTTTATTTGTATAAATTTTAATAAAATATTATTTAAATATAGAAGAAACCAACACGAACTTTTCATTCCAATATTAATTTTGATGTCTCCGTTTTGTAAATATTTTCTGAGAAGATCCAAAGGTTCTAAACGAATTGTTCTTTTGTTTTTTTGATTATTCTTTTAATATTTTTATTTTCTCATTTAAAATCTAATCTAAATACAAAAATAAAATTTAATATTTTCTAGAAATCTACTGAGAACATTTTTATTCTTTGTACTTTACTTTTCTTTGTGCTTAGATTTTTCACTTAATATTTTTCATCATATTATACGAAATAAATTCACTAAGGCATTAATTCGATTTCCAAAACAAAAGGAAAACACAAATAAACATAATGTAAAAGAAAATCACTTAAAAAAAAAGGATACTCATATGTGACAGTATTAAATAAATAAATATGTGTACGTTAGCATAAAATATATGTGTGTAGAAATACAGATAAGCATGCATCATAGGTGAATAACAGTAAGACACAATGGAGTTATGGGGAACACGAAGATACGAATGGCTTACGTGACAAAAATTTTAATGAGGTTAGAAATTTGTAAGTGTGTGGGTGTGTTCACGTTTTTTTTTCTTCATTTTTATTATGTCGCATCCTTTTTTTTGTGTGTTCAGATTTGCGGTCTATTTGTCATTTTATTTCTTTTTTTTTATTTCTATTTTTATAAAGGATAATAATAGCAAATCATTTTAAAGGAATATTTTTGTATTTATTTTGTTTCTAAAAATTCAAAAAAATATTCATTAATAAATTTATTTTTTCAAGATAAATCTGAAATTCATTTATTATTTTTAAAGAATTTACGGAGTACAATCGGTGGAGTAAAGCTACTTTAAAGTTATTGCATCCCTTTAAACAATTTATTGTGATTCTTGAATGAGTTTTATGTTGCAGCGTTAAACTGAAACATTTTAGAATTTATTTAGCACAAAGAAACTCTTAGTATGACATCGCTAGGTCTGGCATTTGAATATTGTGAATATTGTGACTAATTGTGATCTATGCACAGAAAATTTGCATTAATAATAGTTTAAGAACTGCAATATATTAAACCATATCGATGTGTTTATTCCCGAAATAATTGGGGCAAACGCTAAAATATTCATTAAACACGCAATTTTCATAAATATTTCAAAATGCTTTATCAACAAAATAAAAATTTCAATTTTTGATTTTCCAAAAATAAACCTAGAAATTCCAGAAAGTTCGTTTCTCTTCGATTATCTTTATCAATTTGATAAATTGA